TGTATTCCAGCTACAAATTCATGTAACTAGAAAAAGAAACCCAAAGTTTTCTAATTTTATTCTAATTTCTTTGAGTAAACATTTATTTCCTAGAAATATTATTAATTCTGGTTGTTTTGGAAATTTTTTTCTATTTGTCTCTGTCACTAAAAAAAAAAAACTAAACCTTGTTTCTAAAAACTAAAACTATTACGTTTGATTGTGATTCCGTTTGAAAATAGTCAAGACTTGTAAAAAATGCTGTACAAATTGGTGAAAAAAAGAAAGAAATCTAGTTTTTAATTAGAGTTACAAAATGCCTCGGTATGCTGAAGTTCAAAACTAGTTTTACCAAATAAGAGTTATCCGAAATCGTTATTCATTGCTTATGTTATACCGTAACGACCACCCAGAGGATTCCCCCAGACCCTAATCGAGGCGTTCAATCTTGATGCAGGGAGAGGAATCACCTCGTCCACCCCTTGTGGTGATCCACCCCTGATGGGTCGGGCGCCTGGTCAGGAAAGAAAAGAAATTACTGCTAAGCGATTGATTCTTTCGAGTTCCACTCTTGCGCAAGAACAAAATCGTCCTCTCCAGGGAAAAAGAGAAAGAAACAAGCAAACGAAATTTCTTTGTCTTACCCTCCCACAAACCTCCAATTCTTTTCACTTCAGCTCAGGAGAAAGAGGGGGCGACAAAGGAAGAGGGTGCTCGAATCTCTCGACAGACAGTCGCCGCTGACTTTATGAGATATTAAGAAGAAATTTTTATTCTTGTTGTAAAGCAAGGTCGTCATCCATTATAAGAAGAAGCGAAGTTTTCACCGGATCATTGCATTTGAAAATGTTGTAAAAAACAATTGTTAAATAGGTGGTAACGTTTAAACAAGGTGGCATTTATTTGATTTATTATTGTATGGTTCAATAATTTACAGATGACAAAAAAAGGAGATGCAAAAGGTACGTGCAATGTTAATCAGTTGCATGCTATTAATTCCAAAATAATTTACATTAATAATTAGTTTTTTTTTCTTTCTTATTTTCTTTCAAACGGGCCTGAATGGCCGAGTGGCTAGCGCTCTGGCGCTCGGTACCACATGTTGCGTGTTAGAGTCCCGGCGGTGCCATGGATGTTTGTAGTGGCTCGAATCCCCTTTAAATCGTAGGTCCCGGTCTAATAGGATCGTAGAGCGTTGCGGGGGAATTATTACTCCGCGTTCTCTGGGTAATGCAAAGTGAGTAAAGTCTTGCCTTAAGGCATCGAAGATAGCTGTGCAAGTGTTTGTGGCTGCATTAGAAAAAAACTCTTCTTTCATCTTTTACACAAATGTGTTTGGTAAAGACTCTAGTTTAAATCTCGGTTTCAAAACATAACAAGAGACAATGTGTCTTTGCAAGAGATCGGCCATCCTTTGCCTCTTCTTTAGTTAAAGTTGACAAATAATGAAGAATAGTGTGGGCCCCACCCCTACATGACGCTCTTGAAAGATTTTTTTCAAATTTTCATGGTTTACCGCCACTACAGTGCCCAAAAAGTAAAACTAATTTTGTATTTAAATTTCCTTGGCTTATGGAATTTCAATTTTTTTTCTTTTTTTTTTAGATTGTTCACACTGCCTTTAACATCTGTGTGAAATTTCACGTCAAAATATTCGTTAGTGTTTGAGTTACGCTTGGTTTTTGTGAAACGTTAAAAATGATTTCGGAGATTTTTGAAATGTCCGAATTCATTGAGTAAAGAACTTGCATTCAATTTTGATCTTCACGATAATGCGCCAGCTCACACTGCATTGATTCTTCGTGACTTTTTCGACAAATATTAAACGCATATCGTTCCACAACCACCATATTCATCTGATTTAGCACCCTACGACTTCTGGCTATTCCCTAAATTCAAAAGACCACTCCGAATTAACTGTTTTAAATTGTTGTAGAGATTCAACTTGAATCGGCGCGCGCTTTAAGGTCATCCCGGCTAATGACTTTTTAACATGCATTGAGGATCGGAAAAAAAGTTGGTATAAGTACATTGTGTCCGGTGAGGAATACTTTGAAGGTGATGAAATAAATTTGGAAGAATAAATAAAAAGTTTTGAAAAAATTAAAATTGGTCTTACTTTTTGGGCACAGTAGTAAACCTCATCGTGGTGAACCCTATGTAACATTAAATCTGCTACAAATGAATCATTCTAGGGACGTCGTAGTAACCTCAGTTCAAAGTGATTAATATCTGAATGCAACAACCATTATATTACAAAACATGATTCGATGTATTTATAAATGTAACTAAAATTTTCAATTTTAAACTATTGAAATATTCTAAGCAACGAAATAACATCCTTCAGTTCAAATCTAATATCATATTTTGTATTTTAACTGCATTATAATACCTATTGCGTTCTTATTTGATGTTCTTTTTTTAAATTAAAAAAATCACTACTTGTTAATTAGCAGCGTGGGAAAGAGCAGAAAAGGACTAATTACTTACTATTTTTTTAATGCACACTGCTCATTAATATTAACAGGAATCTCACAGTCGCAATAATTCGTGCCGGTCAGATACTACACAGATAAGGTTTAAAACGGGCGATATATCTACACAGTCAGATAAATTATCGCACTTAGTCGGTCAACCTATCATTAGCTTAATGACCTTATTATTATAACCAGTTACGACGTTATATCACATGATTCGATTTTTATCTTACAAAACAGGCTCGCACTACTATATTATTTTTTTCTTCGTCCTTGCCGACTCTAAACGGTAGATTCTTCTGTCTACTCCATGTTATCTGAATTCGTCACTAGATGTGTCTTGGACTTGTATTCATCCTCTAGAGCAGGGGTCTCCAAACTACGGCCCGCGGGCCAAATCCGGCCCGCCAGTGTCCTCCATCCGGCCCGCGACAGCGAATAGCTTATTGTTGCTGTAGTAAATTGGATAAAAAAAAACACAGACTGATAATAACTCGGTTTTATTGACTTGCTAGATAAACCTTAATGACAAGCATAATACACAGAAAATTTAACTTGAGCATAACAACTAATTGAAATGAAACCGACTGACACTATAAACTAGTGAACATCCCGCAGTTACCCTCGGTAGTTATGTTGGGGTATAGAGATCGCATATGTATGCATATCGATTTTTGGAATGTATATATCCTGAATCAAACATATGATTTTTATCCTGAAAAATCCCTCAGGAACGGAAAAGCTAAATGAACGCGAATGAAACCACGGGGTATATATACACTTGTAAAAAAATACTAATGAGATTTATGTAATTATATAGATAATGGCAGAAAAATGAAAACGGTTTTGGCCCTTGGTACTTACAGGAGTTAACCGTATGACCCTCAGGCTGTAAAGTTTGGAGACTCCTGCTCTAAAGAGCAGAAATAACATGGTTTACAATGTTCTGAGGTTACGTATTCCTTAAAAATCTAATCTTCAGGATATGATGAGGTTTTTGCTGATATCCTGGACGACTTGCCTCTTACTCTGTTGTATATTTCATTTTATATACATGCATATTTTGTTTTTTGTCCTGTGTTTACATATTGAGCTCAACCCTTTATGTTTGTGTCTCAAATGATTTTTAATTTAATCGCTGTAGCTTTGGTTTGTCGCTCTAAGGTCATTGTTTGCACACTTCGGACTAATTAGGCCGGGACTTACAATTTAATGTGAATTCCGAACCACTCACAAACATCTATGCCACTGCCAGGATTCGAACCTGAAGCCTGTTGTACCAAAACCAGATAATCCTTTGATTTTATTGATGGCCTATTAGGACGCTGTAGCTTTAGCGCATTTTGGATCTTGAATAATTTCTTTTCAAATCCTTTTATTTCTATTTCTTGTAAATTTTTATAGGACTTGGGAAGCACAGGAATATTTATGCATAACGAATTCTTTTTTTTTGGACTTTGTTATAAAAACTCTATCCCCAGGAGGATATATTTAATCTCTTATTTTTAATTTTCTTTGGCTTTTACGGATTTCCTGGAATTTTCAAAATTTTTTTTTTTTTTTTTTTTATATTCTGTACAAAGAATTGGGTTCGTTTTTAACCTACCAATGCAGTTCTAAACATTCTATCGCTACATTCCTTTTTTATTTGTTAAAACATTTTTAATTTCTTTGTTGAAAAGAGTTATAGGTATTTTTAGAGCTTTGAACGTGAGGCACTTCAGGATTTTTGAATGCTATGATGGTTTTGTGATACAATCTGCGTTTTGTATGTTGTATGTGAATAGGACTTTTGTTGTGCAAAATGGTAGTGTTTCTATTTCTCTCTTTCTTTATAATATATATATATAAATAAAATTTTTGTGGATTATTTTTCGATAATATTTTTCCTTTAGCTCGGTAAAATTGTGGAATGTTTCAAATGCATACGTACAAAATTTCAGATCAGTCCTCAATTTCTTCCGACTTTCAATGTTTTTTTTGTTAGAATGTCAGAGAAATTGACAGTGAAAAGTATTTTAAATTAGAAACGTTTAGAAATAAATATTGGATCAGTTTCAGTAAAACATGTGTAATATTTAGCAGATAGTATACATATTATTAAAAAGGATCATTGGAAAACTTAAAAGAATAATGCGTGATGATAAAGAAAGTGGCAAAAGAAAAAAAAAAAATTGCATGAGCAGTTTCAAATGCTTCGTAACTTTTCTCCAGTAACATGTGTGGCAAATAAAACATTTATAATTTTGATTGAGATTCATTTATATATTAGTGCAAACATAATTTTCTGCAAAACTTGTACCATTTCTTTAAATCGCAAGTTATCTTAGATGCTATTTATGGATCAATTGAATCTTTTTTTTTGAATGCACAACAATTTACGTCTTTAATTTCCACGGAATAAAAAAAATGAAACATGCTTATGTTATTGTGTATTTTACTGACAGCTGTTGTCCATTTAGGATTTACTAGTGGAGTTGGAATAGATTCATTGATTACTCTAAAATTTCTCACTTATATATTCTATAGTTTCTTTCAGCAGCCAACGGCCATACCTTGCTGCTGAATATACCGATTCTCGTTAGATCACCGAAGTCAAGCATCATTGGGCGCGGTCAGTACTTGGGTGGGTGACCACCTGGGAACACCGCGTGCCGTTGGCATTCACAAATTTGGGACCTGAATAGCCGAGTGTCTAGCGCTCGGTGCCACAGGTTTCGGGTTCGAATCCCGGCGGTGTCATGGATGTTTGTAGTGGTTCGGAATCCACTTCAAGCCGTAGGTCCCGGTCTCCTATGACTGTAAGAGCTTCACGGAGCCAAAGTCAGACTTCTACCTACGGGTGCTCCATCACAACAGAAGCTGCTTCCTTCCCCTTCAATCATGAGTACGTATGGGCTCGTGGGCTTGGTCAGCCAAGTGGGATAAGAAACAACAACAACATAGTTTCTTTCATTTATACAGAAAAAAATCTGAAGTTCAAAAAAAAAAATAATAATAACAGATAATTGAATGTTCACTTAGCTTTCAGCTAATTTCGCATATTTAGAATAAAAAGTGGAATCGGGAGATATTTATTGATTAAACAGAAATTTTGTAAGTATATTTTTTCTACGTTTCCACGCTAGCAACAAAAAAGAATACCAAAAATAAAATTTGACTTTCCTCCTTAACATATATATATATATATACATATGCAGGGTGTCCCAAAATTCATGCAAAAATCTCGCACAATCTTAAAACATATATAAAGCTTGCGTTAACCCTGTATGTGTGTATGTATATATATATATATATATAGTTCTATTTCATAATTTAAAAAAAATAAAAATACACAATGAATACGCTCTGCATTCAATACATTGATTAAATTGAATGAATAATAAAAAAATTACATTTGTTGAACTATTACAAAATGTTTCGACTTTGGCTCACGAAATGCTCTACATTTGGCCCATGGACACTATTATAGTATGTACTATATTTAATGAAATCGTGACTTCGGGGTATTAACGTTATTCCCTTTGAAGTTGATATATATTGAAGTTTGCTTCTACCATCAACGCCTTTGAAGAATATTTATCAATCAGACTGGGCATACCCATAATCGGCATAGACACAAAAGTTCTCGATGGCGTTGGTGGCGGGATTCAAATCTAGAGATTCCCCACGAAAATTGAAACTCGATGGAATATTCTGTTCCTCACGTTCACTCTAGCGGAGAGGAACAGGATAGTTTCGTCGACCTGACTTGCACCATAAGCAACAGTTTCCCACTAGTGTAAAATATATCCAATTTTCCGATAGATGTAAAACAAATCTATTCACGTAAAAGAGTTGTCTGTCTGACTTTCTGCAGAATTCTAACGTTGGAAATTGAATGACATTCAAGTTGAAAGTGTCTCTGAGAATGTGGAACACTACGGTAGGATAGCAGGCTTCCATAATGAATACAGTGGTACAAAAATATTCCAATGAGCTATCGTTCCATGTCTTGAGATTTTAGTTTCCGTTGAGAATCTACCTTAACACCGTCTAACGCGCGAATCACATGACTGATCCTATCCCTGACAAATTTAATTTTGATATAGAAATATTAGTATTCTTTTTTTGTAAACGTATTGTTATATATAATAATATATATATAAATATGTGGATCCCAGGCCATTGTGGGATTTTGGGTAATGAGAAGGCGGATTCTCTTGACAAAAAGGAACAACCATCACCCAAACCTCTTGTAAAGACATCTCTTCTCACTCGATGAAACTGATGATCCTAGACTTTTTCGAAACGCTCTATTTGATAATCTACGTGAAGGCAACTCATCTAAAACCTGGTTTATATTTATTCTAAACATCCCTGATCAGCCCAGTTTAAAAGCTGTTGCCCTTTTCAGACTCCTGACGGGCCATGATTGTATGGCCAATCATCTTTTTCCGAATGAAAATATTTGCAAGCCCAAAATGTATGCTCTGCAGTCTTGGAGAGAACATGAATTCATCTCACCTTCCTGTCTGCCCTGCACTTGTTTCCTCTAATGTGTAGGGTCGTTTACTGGGAGGCTAGGGCCCTTATGGGCTAAACATGTCACTATGTGATTTCCTTCGATTCTCGTTGTTGTTTTTCTCGTTGGTTCATGTACCTTGTGTTCTTTTCAGGTTATTGTTTCTGTAGCCTGCCGTTGGAAATATATATATACCAAATATTATTATTCTTTTTTGTTTACCTAATACGAGATTTCGTTTTTGTCTTTGAAAGTGATTAAAAAAAAAAAACCTTTGCCAGCAAGAGTTTTTATTGTTTATAAGAGAATTTTGTTCCTTACAAGTCTTGTAAGGAACAATTACCTTTTGGGTTTACATTTTGTTCCTTAGTCAGTAGGATAAAGATGAAGAAATCACTCCTTCATATTATCTATTCATCGCTTGTGTCTGAATGCAAACTGCTTAATCAATAATTCAGTGACGTACCAAACACCTACGAGAGACGCATTTCTGTTGCATAAGGGTAAAATCCAGAAAACGTGACTCCACATAATCGAAAAAGAGGTCGGATATTTCAAGATGAACTTCTATCATAAATCTGAGCACGGATTTTATTGCGACAATTATTTCGTAAAGTAAAATCTCTCCCAACAAAATCTGATGTTTAAAGATAATTAAAAATTAATAAATCAGTGATATACAGAAATATATTCGAATCATTTTCTTTCTTTTTTTTGGAAGTATAAGCGCATAGATATGAAACCCTCTTTCTCTTGTATTTTAAGGTGGAATTTTTTTTTGTTCTGTTATCTGGCTTTTATGGGTAAAAAATAGACATATAAATTAAATGAAAAATTACAACGAAACTTTCGGTAAATTTTGAAAATTATACAATTTTTCAAATTTGTATAATTTTCGATAGAAAAAGGACCAAAATCCAAATAAAGAGGCAAACGCAAATAAAAAAAAATAAAAAAAGGTAAAGAATACGGATAAAGTCAAATTTATTAAAAATTAAATCAAACTGTAAAACCAAGTTATATGAATTAACACTCATTGTCAAAATTTCGTCTCTCACCAAGTAAATTCCATAAAGAGTTGTTGTTTTCGAATGGCATGGACTTTGACTTAAGTTATTCATCATTACAATGTGAGATATGCAGCATAATCAACGTTAACTGAATGCAACAAAAAATAATTTTTAAAAACTCTACCCATATCTTACCACTACAATTTTGCCCTAACACCCCTACCCCTCGCGATGCCATATAAAGGGTACAAATCATCCTTCCTTCAAAGATCACTATCATTCTGTAATTAATTGTGCCCATCTCTGGTTCGGCTCTAATTATCAGATTCCAAACAAAGCCTTCAAAATTTCCCTTAAAGAATACATAGACGCGAAAATTATACAGATGCCTGTATAGATATTATATGCCTGTAGATTCCTTCTATCGCACATGCAAACCTCTTGTCGTTGCTAGAAGACGAATCGGGATTAGATTAAAAATACAGGATCAACGATGCCATCGTCATGCTAAAATGTGCAGAAGTGATAGCAAAGAAAAATGAAAGCAGGATATTATCGAAGAACAATATAAAAACTTCTTCAAACTTCCAAAAGGGACAAACTGCAAAAGAAAAGGGCAAAGAAAACTAATGGTATAAACATCCCAGTTCAGCCTGGTATCACGGACATTTTGAAATTTCCTGTCACTCGGTAGACAAGACAGCAACGCAGATGAGTGCTACAAGATCATCTTCAGCGTTTGCAGATGTACCGTACACCAGATAATTGATGACACTGATAAAAAAAAACCATACGGGTGGACAGATCTTGTGACTATGGAGACCAATGAATAGTATCCTCCCTACACGAACTTCACACACTTAAAATTCCATGGCATGGCATAGCGCCTACTGCATGTCTCGGACATCCACTAAGCATGGCAAGGCTACCTCCAAACAATTCTTCAAAAACTGTCAGGGCAAACGTATAGACAAATGATATGGTCCACAGTAATGGACGACATTTTGGCATCAGACATATGTTAGTGTAGCACGAGGATTCTTATCTGTCAAATATGCGAGCTATATGCAGCGTATAGCAACATATCTCTCAAAATGTTCTTGGCTACCTGCTATTAGGACAAACTTTTTGCTCAATGGTAGCTGACACATTTATCAGCAGATACCATTGAGTAAAGATCTCCCTAAAGCCCTTCTTGAACAATCAGCACGCTGCAGTAACTCTATACAGCTTCTCATGGTTTGGGTGGTTACAGACTAGGGTTTTTAAGAAGATCAAAGAGAGAAGCGATTTCTGAAATACCACACTTCTTGTTTCTTCTACATGGCGAAGACTATCTTTCCTGCTCCTTTATGGCATATTTATAAGATACTTATTGATACATAATCTGCGATGCAGTCGGGACAGATTTGCAATACTTCTCGCTTCCGATACAGATGAACAGCGGTTTGTCAGTTACAAATAGCGTATCCATATGCCAGATACATATCTGATAACTCCTCATTCGGGAAAACTTCCATCCTGACTACCTTTACGAGAGGTTATCAAATGTCTCTTTTCTGACGATGACGTTTCACTGGATTTCTAACAAAGCCCTCTCTCGTTTTACGATTGCAACTCTGCCTTGCTATCTGAGTCTGATTCATCTTTAAGTAACTTCCCAGAAGTTAGTACACATAGGCAGCGTATCACTGAGAATACATATATAGACACAATTGCATAAAATTTTAAAATATTCTAATGGAAAAGTATGGAAACAAAATTCTTCAGATTCTCGTCTGATAATAACTATTAAATGAAGAAAAGACAAAATATTCTAAATAAAGCTAATTGAACAGCAGAATCAAATCATAAGAACAAACATACTATAGATAAAACAGAAAATAAGCAAAATGAAATTATTAACATTTCTGCGTAATTATATAAATATTCTGTACGTTGGAAGTCTAAAAATTTCCAGCATCGTAGTGCATCACAATAAGAAAATGCAAATTCTGAAATAGAAAAGAAGTTTAACACTAGACCTAGAATGGACATTTTTAAAATGCTAACATTCTGCATGACGTACACATTTAATCTCCACTTAGAAAAAGAAAAATTATAATAATCTAAAATATAAATTGAGAACTCAGTCAATAATTCTCA